GGGGGTACTCACAAAAAAATTGTTATTCATGTCGTGACCAAAACTTCAAAACCCTATTTCAGACCTGCCTTATAATACTTAAATTGCTGTAAACATAATTTGTGAAGGGTGTTTGTTGGTTTTCTTTTCGATAATGATGAAAAAGTGGCTTCTTAAAAACATACCCATATCAAGAGTAGAGTGCGAAAACCACACCCCATTAGTGACCAAAATGGCCAAAATCTATACCCTATTTATGACCAAAATAGCTGAAAAACCATACCCTTTGGGGCCGCACATACCTTTATAGTTCATATAAGGGAGTACCCTCCAGGGGTAATGGTTCCCAAGCCTAGGTAATGGCTGGAATCAGCTGTGTTGATGGGCAACACTTCACTCCTACTAAACTTCCTCCACAGTGCCATTTATTTCTTGTTTCTTGTACTTATGGTAATGTTGAAGATTACCATGTGCTCTGACTAAACCACATTCTGCATACAAAACATCGTTTTACTGCCATCACTTTGGCCTTGTGATGAAACTACTGTCCAAATCTAAACCACCGAATGTCCTTTCCCATGCATGCCACTTTTACTCCTCCTCCTAGGTGGGGGGAAGTGCAGGAGGTACTCCCTTTGATGTCACTAATCTCTTACTTGTTTGCATTTTTCCTATTAGTATCTTTCAGGCTGGGGTGTCATACTCAGATTGGTCCCTAAAGGGGTTTAGTTTAAATTTTCCGATGTGCAATTTTGACACTAACAGTAGCCCTCACAATGTTCATTGCAACTTCAATATTGTACAATAGGTCTTTTTATTCCCTGGTAAAATTCAGTTGCCACTCAAGAATTAAGCTACATTGCGTAGCTCCAGAAAGTATGCATACACACACTAGCTATACGGCAATTCCCATGGAGATGGGAGTTTAAAAAGCCAAAGTGTTTTAAGGTAAGCATTGAGAGCTCAACTAGAATTTGCAAAGGAGTGGAGGGGGTGGTGGAAGGGCAGTGGTAACTAAGAAAACCTCGTGTGGAAGGTTTACAGATCTTCTCTTGAACTACACATTGCTCCTAGTAACTAAGGTTTGCTTGGATAGTTTCTAGAGATGACAACTCTTTGGATAGTTTTTTGGCAAAAAAGTTAAAAAAAAAAACAAAGATCATGAGGTACAGCTCAAACCAAGTTAAATAGTTTTATATCTTTAAGTTAATAGTACTATAATCATGCTTTACAAATTGGTCTTAATTATTTACCTGTGGCTAAGAATTGTGTGGCACAATACACCTGTATTTACTTGTCAGTGAATACTGATGCCTCCTGTGACATGCTGCTTGAACAGGCTGCTGTATGCAAAAGCAAGTTGCATGTTACCTAAACATCTAAATATCATGGCTTGTACATAATTTTGCAGAAAACACGAGTGCTCTATTTCAGCAGGACCTTTGTGAGAAAATTCTGCTTGCCTTAGATAACATTTCGGACTTTTTCCCAAAAACGTTACTCACTGGTACTATTTGCTTACTCCAGGTCCACTTGATGATTTATAAGAACTCTGCACCCTCACAAAACTTTGTACAAACCTTGTGAAAAATTGTACCACTGAAAAATCAGTGTTCTTTACATGATGTGTACACAAAATGCTGACATTCCATTTCATTCTCCATTTACATTTTGTTATGGTAATGTGAATATCAGTTTATTAATTTACTTTCTTCTCTGACAAGCAAACTAAAATTGTCCATGTTTATTTGCTGTAAAAAGGCAACACGGCAGAACTAATAAACTACATGAAAATTGGTTCTCTACTGCTTCTGATATGAGAAGACGAACAAGACTTCCTCTTTCAGCAAAATCCTTCTCTTAAGAAGTGACTAACTGGACTGTTTTGATTTAAAGTTTGTTGACAGTTGCAAACACTTTTTTTTTTTTTACTAAAGTTCAGAGCACTGTTTTGGGATTCTGTGGTATAAGTACTCGGTAATAGTGTAACAAAGCTACAAAAACTCATTAACTTACTAACTCTTAGATATTTTTTCAACCTTTCTCATTCAAGAACAACAATAATATTTTAGTCACATTTTTCAACGTAAATTTAGTTTATCAACAAGTTGTCCTTTTCGCTATTTATAGAAAGGGACATTATGGTCGGATTAGGAGCTGTCAACAGGATGAAAGCATGCCATCTGAAATATCAGCTGTTTCCTCAATCCTTGACCACTGCTACTTCAGGCTAAAGAATATGATGAATTTGGTAGATTGTCTGTATCATCATCATCGTCACTGTCATCCTTACTCAGACCACAGTCCCGGTTGGTTGCACACCCTAAGTGAACCAAAGCAAACGCAAAATAGTTATTTTGTATATACTAAATGAATACAGTCAAACCTTATTTTGGTCCCAGCAGAGAGTCCATACATTCACTCTTATTTTAACCTCTTTACAACAGCAACAGCCACTAAAATGTGTCCTGCTTGCCAAAATAACCTCTCAACAATGGCCAGTAAATCAATTGCTGGTGAACGCTGTATATGAAACCCTATTTATCTATTGTAAAAGGCTACCAAACTTGAACTGTACCACGCACTGTTGGTCTCTGTTTCCATTTAGTTTTTGTTTTATTGACATATTTTGACTGTGTCAGGTATTTATATGCCAAAATAAGCATTTTTTTAAGAAAAGAAATGTTGCTTCACTGAAAAAAAGAGACGTCATATTACACTCCTACCTCCCCATATAAATGGTCACCATTCTACAACAGGCACCTTCCTCTGTCCCCAAGGTGGCCATTGTGGAGAGGTTCAGTATAAAACATGTATATGTTTGAAATTTTAATTTGGATGACAAAGTGATTTAGATGTTTATGACTGTGTATTTGGTATTATGAAGTGAAATTGGCTGATTAGCTCTCTTTTTGACAAGTATTGTATTTTCTCAAATAAAATGTCAGATAAATGTCAAATAAATGCCTGTGACAGAAACTGAGACGGTGAAAGACATGATGGCTGCACGCATCACACTTACCACTTTACCTGGTCGTGCCCAAGTCCGGATGAAACCCTCATGACATGCCATGACGATACAATCCTCTCTGAATGACAGTGCTGTTAATCTCTCATTTGCCACTTTCTTGGCAACCAAAGGTTCTAATATGGACACTTCATCCATTCTGGGACACAAAACGGTCCCTGGCGTAACATTTCCAATATTAACTAAGTGCTCCACTGACTTACTTAAAGAATGTACTTGTGTTAAACTCTTCGGCGTGTCAAATGACATTGGTGCAACAGCATTGCCGCTACCGGAGTGATTCACTTCATGTGAAACTGGTCCATTAGAAAGGAAATTTGTGGTGGGTACATGTGAGTTTGAAAGAGTTGCAGTGCGCATACTCCTGCCGCGAGGTCTCTGTGGCTTAAGAACGTCATCACCTAAGTCCCACAACATAAGATTTGTATCCTGTCCAACAGAACCAAATCTATAACATGTCATGTTCTTGTCGTCTTGAGTTACTGAAGTATTACCATGTGATGGTGCTACTCCATTCTGTTCAATTTCATCTTCGTCACTGTCATCCACACGGCCTCCAGCACTAACACTTGTAGTGTAGGGATCAAAAGCAACTACTTGAACCCAAGATTGGTGACCTACACCTCGTGCTATGACTCTCCGCTCGAGAAAAGACCATACTGTCACAAGGTCGTCCTCACCTCCTGTGACGATATACTTACCGTCTGGACTCCAACAAACACAAGTTAAGCCTCCAAAATAACTCTTCATTACACCGCACAGTGTCTGCAAGTCAAAGTCAAACACTCGAAGAAAGCCATCCTGATTTGCTGTTGCAATGTGTTTACAGTCTGGGGAGAAGGAAAACTCATTTATGGAGCCTTCTCCAATAGTCCACTTACAAACTGGGTTCCGCGTAGTCTTTGATTTCCCACTGTGGATTGAATAGCCTGGTCCTTGTTTCATTAAAGCATACTGCGGAGGTCCCATGCCAGGAGGGTGTTCCTTGTTGTATACAAACATGTTTCCACTTTCATGTGCTACGAGAAACAAATTTTCTGATCCCGGGATCCATTTGAGGCACATGACCTTGGTCTTATCCACAAGTCTCTGAAAGAGTGAGAGAAACACTTTTAGTGAAAACCTTGGAAATTGCATAAACTGACACATGCTCTGTATTATCAGTGGGGAGAACACAACCTAGACACTTTTCTCCACAGGGCTCCTCTACACTTTGGTTGCATGAATGCACACTCTGTCCAGAAAATTGTCGACAGGTTGAAGTTCAAGGAGAACATCTTATTAAGCTACATGTACTCAACAGGGTGCAAAGTAAACAAATTTCTGGCTGGCCTTCCGAGGAAGAATTGGCATTTGTGTTAGTCCCCCACCCCCCGAAACATGACTCACAAACATACTCTGTTTCAGTACGCTTTGAGTGTCCCCAAATATTTTCCTAAAAAATCTCCATTTGTCCGACACAACTCTTTTTGCAGGCTGCTTGATAATTATCTCCTTCTACTATCAAAGCATGGGAGGCACAGTGGCCTCATGGTTAGTACGTTTTTCTCCAGATCAAGTGGTCTGGGTTTCAGCCCCGGCCAGAAACATCGCTTTGTGTTCTTGGACAAGACACTACTCTCAAAGTGCTTCTCTCCATCCAGCTTTATAAATGGGTACCGGCCAACTTAATGCTGGGGGTAACCCTGTGATGAACTGGCATCCCATCCAGGGGGGAGTAGCAATTCTGCCAGTCGCTTCATGCTACAGAAACTGGGATAGGCTCTGGCTTGATAGGCCATTTGGCTTGTATGCAGACTTAACCTTACCTACTAACAAAGCAGCACCTCCCTGTCTGTTTAAGAGTACTAACCTCTTCGTTGAACAGTTTATTGACTTCATGTTTCACTGGATCAAGCAGCTGCACTTGCCCAGCAGAGAACCCAATCAACAACTCCAAGCTGTCAGATGACCGTGTCAGCAAGTTAAAATCATGGCAAGTTGGAATGGTGCCTTTATAGAGCCGCTTATCAAGGGGCTTTGTAAGATCTGCAGCCTGGAATAAACAGTTAGGAAAATGGATTCAAGTGCTTCACATATCATAGGTTTAGAACAAGACAAAGTGGCCAACAGATAGCCCATTGTAACATTGGTTGAAAACTCTAAAACAAAACAAGGATAGCAATATATACATATAATAATCATATACTGGTCACTGAATGAAAGACCTCCTGTTGGCTGATTGATGATCAGTCATTGTACTAAATGAGTTCTATTAGTTCCACAGACAGCTCTTTAAAATGCACAAATAAATTAATTATTTACAGACAGTCGTCAAAAAAGAACCACAAGATAACAAGTCTAGATATCAATAACTGACTGTTGATAACATGTTTACTTTGTTGTATATTTGTGTTTTGCATTGCGTAGAGTGGATTGTTTAACACTATCAGAGTATTAATGAAGACATCAAAATTCTAGAATAACATCACACTTGCTAGTGGGTTTTAAATAATTTCCTGGGTCAAGCTTGACCACAGAAACAACTACATATAGGCAATAACTATCTTTTTGCGATAAGCCAATTGCAGACCGAAAAAAAACAAAAAAAACATTTCAATTACCCAAATGAAGTCTTAATTATCCAAAACGTGATGCTGAGATGACAAGACAGTCCGCGTAATTGTCTAAATTTGAGACTGCAATTGGATTTCATGCATAAATTGAATGCACAATGTAAACAAATGCTTCTGAACTTTTCAAAGGTGTTGGTAAAAGTGGTCACTTTTCAATACAAAAAACGAAAATAGATGCCTACAGTTAAATATAGAAATAATAATTGTTACATGCCACAGTACTTTAATAATGTACAGCTAATCTTCAGATAACCAGCTCCAACGACACAACTGAATTAGGCTTAACAGGCTGTAAATATTAATATTTTGTTACAAAATACACCACTATAATACACTCTAAGGGATTCTCTGTATATTTTTTCGAAATTTAGATTCGCTTGAACCATAAAACGAAATGGAACTTAACTAGTGAAATTACCGTCACTGGCTGAAGAGCTTACTGAGAAACCGAAAATATATTGATTCCTGAAAAAAAA